GGGACGCACACTAAATATACATGGCTGCTGCTTGTGGGGCTGGGACAAAGGGGACGGGAGGGGGGACCTCCACCCCAGCCACTGTCTGCTTGGGAGCTTCCCAGGGGGGCTCCTGGGGGGGGGGAGGTGGGGGGGTTGAAAATTCCTGTCATTTCTGCACTTGCAGCTCAGTAGGACCCGTGAAAAGGGGGTGGGGTCCCATCAGTTAAGCCCCCCAACATCCACCCCTCCCCACACCCACATCCCGGGCCTTCTGGCTCAGGGCTGGGGGGCTGCCCTGCAATGCCCGGAGGGGGGGCTTCCCTCGGTCTGCCCCCCCACAGCTCAAGGCCTCCCTTCCAGGCAGCCTTCGTGCGCCAATCCCTTGCAGAATAAGGGCTCGGAGGGGCCCCACAGCCTCCGGAGGGGAGCCGTGGGGCGAGGAATAGTCCCGAAGGGCGAAAGGGGAGGGGGCAGCCCTATGGGTTTGGAGAAGAGCCTCGCGGAAGGAGAGCAGGGATGGCGGCCCCCAGGGGCCCCGTTGAACCCCAGCAGAAGGGCATCAGCGGAGGGCGGGCACAGGCCCCACAGCACGGAGGGCAGCCAGGGGACTCCCAGAGAGGGGACCCTGCACCCCCACAGCCAGACCCAGGTGCCCCCAACCCAGAGACTGGCAGAAGGTGTGTGTCTCTGCGCCCCCGACTGGCAAAGCCCACATGAGTCACGGAGAAAGCCGAGCAGGGCAGCTGGGCACTGGCAGATCCCATGCCCTGCCCCACCTCTCACCTGGCCAGGGGGCTTCTCCCCTTGGGGCTGGGGCCCGTGGGAGGCAGAGGCGGCCATCTCGGCTACGCGCTTCTCCATCTGCTCCAGGCGCTCAAGGATGGACATCCTGAACTGGTTATCTGGGGGGGGGGGAGAAGGGGGGGGAAGGGGGGAAAGGGGGATCATGGGAGAAGGGGGGAGCATTGGAGAAAGTGGGGGGGGGGGAGAAGGGGGGGGAAGGAGGCTGGTGAGAGGCAGCCCAGCCCCGCCCCGGCCAGCCCAGGTGAACAGGGGCAAGGGGTGGGGGCAGCTGACCGAAGGGATTGCTGGGCATCCTGTTAAGCTAATCCTGACTTGGGGGCGATTAACGGCTGGCCTCCTTTGGCATCTCCACTGGCATCTCCACTGCCCCAAACGGGGGGGGGGGGCTGCACCAGTCCACTCGGTCTTGGAAAGGGGAGCAGAAAAGTGGGTTCATCCTGGGGGGGGGACCCGGAGCCCCCGTGCCCTGCTGCTGCTCCAGGAGGGAGTGGACCCAGCCCATGGGGAGTTGGGGGGGCTGGGAGGGGTCTCGTGTCTTCTCCCTGATGGGGGCAGGTTGGGGGGTTCAGAGAAAGACATTAATTAAAGAAACAAACAGATTCTGTGGCAAATGAGGGACCCCCAGCCCCCCCCCCCTAGTCCCTTCACAGAGCAAAGCCGGGGGGGTCTCTTCCACGGACAGCAGAATGGGAAGAGGCCCCTTCCCCACGCAACCATTACAGGCACCAACCAGGAAAGTCCAGTGAATGGCAGTCTCCGGAACCCCACTTGCCAGCCCCTTCCCACGCAGCCCCCCACCCAGCTCATTCATTGCCCCCCCAGACGGGGCTGCCCCTCGGGAAGGGGGGGGGGCTGCTTCTGCCAGCCCACATTGGAGCCCAAGGACCCAGAGAGCAGGGGGGGCTTCTGGGGACCCCCTCCCCAACCCCCCACCCCCGGGTGCCGGTCCTTCCCTCCGGCCGCAGCCCCCTCTGTCCATGCTCCGGGCCCTTCCCCACCTACCCGTGGCCGGTACCTGCTCTGCGCATCGCCGGGGCACACGCGGGGCTGCCCCCTTGCCTGACCCCCAAGCCCAGCGCTCTGCGGCTCAACTCCGGTGGGACTCAGGAGGCAGCTGCCAGCGACCGCACAGAAATCCCAGGTTAGGCCCGTCCCCCAGCTGGGGGGGGGAGGCGGGGGGGGGGCAGAGATGAGGGCACCGCTACCCTTCCTGGTATGCAACGACTGGGCGAAGGGGCTGCTGCCCCCACCCCTGACGCCCCCGGTGGGAGGGGATCCGGCTCTCCCTCCGCCAGCCAGAGACGGGCAGCAGCCTGACCAGCGCCGGCCCTCCTGAAAATAGCCACCGGCCTGGGCGGGGGGGGG